CTCAGCTGTACACTGAGATTTTCTTGGTCTCTTGAGCTTGGCTTCACCAGCTGAAAAATAAATAATGCTGGGGGATGCAGTGCAGGGTTGGTACTAGAAAGCAAGGACCAGTCTCAGAGATGTCATCTCTCCATGCAGCTCCCAAATGCAGCCTCAAATACAGACCCCAGAAAGTTGCTGCCTCACAGCAGCTCCCACAAGAGGAGTTGCTCCAATGGGATAGCTGGAAGGGAGGTGTATAATTGCAAGTGATTAAAAGTAGCCACGGTCCTGTGATAATTAATCAGAAATACCTCTGAAAGCAGAAGTCAGTGACACTCGGGGGGGAAGGTGTCTCTGCCAGCACCCCTTGCCCAGACAGCCCTGACAAGGCTCTGATTAGCAGCAAATCTCCAGCCTGATAATAACTGCTTCCAGTGATTAGGTGGCAGGAGAATTGATGAGAAAGGGAGATGGTGACGCCTGTTTGCAGCGTTTGGTCAACTACAGAGCAACCTGGGAGGAGATGGCATCTAGCTGGGGGCTGAGAGGCTCAGAGCAGAGCAGTTGCTGTTAAACTGATACAGTCCCCAACAAAAAAATACTTTAAAACCACAATCCATCCTTCCTGGCAAGATATAAACACACCATGAATGCCTCTTGCTCCAGAGAGGAAAAACAACAGCAATAATCCCTCCAAGATTTCACAGTTTCCAGTGTCACACAGAAGTTAATGGAAGGAAAAACTGATGGTTTCAAACCCCCAAAACCTCTGCATGGAGGTGAATGTCTACAGCTCTTCTCCTCCTTGAGGGGATGAAATTAATCCTTCAAAGGTGCAGCTCCCAGGCACTGATCAGAGCAGCACCCCTGGGCACTGCCTGTGCCACGTGTGACCATCAGCCAGACACGTCGTGTTCCTGTCTGCATTGCCATCAAGTACGTGGCAAGATCCTCAGCTTGTGCCTCTCAGGCACCACAGGCATTTCCAGCACTACCTGAACACACTGCTAGTCAGAGGCAATGGTCAGGAAGGAATTTGAATGAGCAGAACAAGATGAAAGCTTTCCACAAACAGCTCACCTGTCACCTGCCATGCTGTGCCTGCTGAAAGTCTCACTACATGATTGCAGCATTGGCCCTTCAAAAAAACCTCCCTGTACTCTCTGTCAATCACCCCCACCTGTGGAACAAGGCATTACAGTTGGAAGAGCAGTCCCAGCATGGAGAGGAACAACGTGATGGGACGAGGAAATGGGAGAGGTGGGACATTGCTGCCACCAGCTCTCTTCCCTTGAAGGAAATATCTTTGGGGAGGTGAGAAGAGCAACTGCTGCCAAATGAACTCCAGATGTTACCTGCCATTTTGTGTCACTGTCCAAGCACTCCAGCTGATTTTTCCAGGGCCTTTGCTGTCCGATTCAGTAATGGCCAGAAACATGTTGCCCAAACACCATTTGGTTGAGTGTACAGACAAAGCATTACCTTTCCCCTCAAAAATACACCTGTAAAAATCAAACATGGAAACTTGGCAATTCACAGCCAATATTTTTGACTTGGAGAGATCCCACAACCAACTCTCCCATATAGTGATTGTTGTCATGGCAAGCAGAGTCAGGGGAGAAACAACAGAAGAGGTGGTTAGTCCTTGACATGCTCCATCCTTGGACGAATGGCAGCTCCCCAGCAAAACAATCCCAACAGCAATTACCGAGGTGCTTTTAAAATGGGAAAAGCAAAAACAGATTAAAAAGCCATTTGAAACCTTGAAGCTGAATGCTGAGTGGAAAGGAACACGGAGCAGCCAGGGCTGAACAATGAGGAGACACTTCTCAGGAGGCAAAGTTAAATGGACCTCGACTGTCAAACCAGAGCCAGCAAAGAGCCTTGGGAGGCTGTGGGCACAGCACTTGACAAAAAGACAATTGGTGCTGCCTTATGCTTAGTGGCTGCAGCATGGAAAACTTTCCAGGGAGAGCTAAGGAGCAGACCTGTGCCCCCAGCCACTGCCAGCACAAGGTACTAACAAGGGGCAAGACAAAAGATGACTTTCAAGTGCAGAATTCAATTACACTCCAGCCACATGAATCACTATTCCACTGGCTGGATTATTTTCTTTCCTTGCTGGAGCCAGACCAAGGATTTGGAGAGTATCTGCAACCTGGGAGTGGAAAAGAACTTTTTACTGTTTCAAAAATAGCAAGGAGTTGTTACGAAGTGAAAGCTTTATTGTTTCCAGTAGTAAAACACTACATAAAAGTTGTACAGGATGGAGACGAGAACAACAAAATAATAAACACAAATGACCAGAGCAGACTGAGCACATTCAGTGAGTCCTTCTTGCCCACATTAAGCCAACTCAAAAGGCAGTCACCTGGTAGAGGTATAGGAGAATATTCCAACAAAACCTACAAAACACAACCAAGAGAGTCACCACAAAGGGAAAAGTGATCTTTAATAGAAAATAGTGCATAATGCTGCAGATTTTCCTCTATCACATTCAGATGTGGGGAGATCACATTCTCCCAGTCTAGATCCTTCCCTCAACCCAAGAGGAGTCTTTCCATAGGCGACTGAGCAGTTCTGGTTTGAACTCAGGTAGAATTACCCCATGGAGGTAAAATGGAGAGGTAAGAAAGAAAGGTTTCCAGTCTCACTGGTACCAGAGCAGTCCCAAATTTCTCTTTGAGAGTGTTTTTTAAAACCTGGTCTCAGTTAAAAATCAAACTCATGTCTCAAAGTGACACAGCAGGCCAGCAAGGATTCCCAGGCTCCTGTGCAGAGTTGGCAACCCACAGGGTGGTAAATGGCTGTGGGAAGTGAGAGTGGGAATGGAAACACATCTGCACTGCCCAGGGATGAAGCACGAGGAACACAAGAAGAGTTAGAAATTACATACTCAATTCTAAAAACTCTATCCAACTCAGTGTAGAGTTTCTGATGAGAAAGTAACAAGTTTAAAGAAAACAGAGTCAATTTTTAAAAGCCTTTTTCCTTCTCCTTCTGCTAGAGAATTAACTTAGGCTGGCAGGCCAGGCTGTCTGAGGCACTGCAGTAATGAGAGCATGAGCACAACTAGCCTCACTCAGACTGTCAAAAGCTTCAAGGCAAAACAGGACTTTTTTTTTTTGGTGGCAAAACCCTTCTGAAATTGAAGACCCTTCAGCTTTCAGAAGAAACAGCATGACTCCAGCTCTGAAATCATACCACCATTTCAGCAAAAGCTGACATTTGGAGTTCCTTTTTCAGCTAATAATTTTGGCACTACCCCTTCCAGAGACGCAGCTGGTCGAGTCTCAGTGGCCAGGTTAACAACAAAGACCACACCATAAAGCATCCCCCAGTGGAGAGCAACCTCATTCCTTGCTCTCTCCAACTCTGATGCTGTGGAGCTCACATTCAGTAGTTTCTGCCATCTCAGAGAGCCCACATTACCCAAAGGTTTTGTTTTCATTTGTGAAAGGGCAGAAACAGATCACAGAGGAAGAGCTGGAAGCATTATCCCAGCAACCTGCCATAGCACATTAAGTGGAAAAGCAGTAAGGCAATGGTCCTCTGTTGGACCATGTTCATTTAGAAAGAAAGTCAAGGATTGATTTCCGATCTCCTGCTAGAGTGTTCCAGCACCCAATCTCATTTATCTTCATACTGCAGCCATTTGTAAGAACATACACTACATGGGCACAAAGCACCCAGCAGCAAAGGAGAACAGAACAAAAGAGTAATAACCAAGGGAAAAGGCTGACATTAATGGGCACAAATTGCCTTTAACTCCCTGATTTCAGAGGGAACTTTTTGGAATCCTTTGTTTCTTCATAATAGACAGGTCAGCTCCAAAGCATTTAATAAAATTCACAGACTCTTACCAGCCTAGTGTGGGTTTTGTTCTCAGGTCTTCAAAGATCTAATTGCTCTAGAGATGTCAGGTAATTTGATTTTTCTTGTCTTTCAGGCCTTAGAGGGAAATTGTCCGTCCTGGAGAATAAGCAGGACCAGGGCACACAGTTTTCAACAGCCTGACTCATGATGACACCATCACAGTCAGCCACACACTCAAGACTTGCAGGAAAAAGGTAAAACAAAGGCCCCTGGTCATGCAAGAGATGACAAGGTATGCATGTGGGAGGAGAATCTGCAGAGCTTAACAACATAAAGTAATTTGAAAGCTTTTATCCAATTTGGGTGGGCAAAGGCAGCCAGCTGGGCTGTGGGGTGAGGGATGTTTTCCCACCAGGAGCTGCAACAAACACACACTGCCTATAATTCCACTGCCAATGGAGCACCCTCACACAGGGCACACAAGTCAGTGCACAGACAGGAGGATTGAAAAATTCATAGCAAACTTCAAGTGATTCTTTACGAACTGCAGTATCACCCTGAGCAGAAAGAGAGAGACCCAGTTGGAAGGGAATGGGAGCAGATTTGGGATGCCCCCACCAAACTCAGACCAACTCAAACCAGAACAACAATGACAAGAAACACAAAGTACAAATCAGAGCCCCAGTCTCACTGTTGGGGTTCACAGAGGGAAATTCACCCCAGGCTGAGAAGCAGTAGAAGGGCTGAGGTCTCCTCCCATCCCATTTCAGGGGTGAATTTCCCTTTCTCCAGAAGACTGCAGAGCCAGGCCTGCCAGTCCAGGAGCTGAACCCAGGGCTGGGCTTGGCAAACCAGGAATAGCAGAGGTGTCACACATTTCTTCAGCTCTAGTGGGCACTTTGTTCCAGCAAACACAAGTCTGGACCTCATAGCAGCACCACACAGCAGGGCACCTCTCTCCAAGCAGCACCCCAAAGTCTGTGTCAGTCAGCAGAAGAGGAAACCAAACTGAGCCATAAACCAGGTGAGTGAGGCAAGGAGGACAGGTAGGTGCTTTCCCAGGTGCCACTGTGTTGCTAATGCCTGTGGAAGAGTTGGCATCAAAGTCATCACCAGCAGCAGTTGTTGCCTGGAGTGAGGTCTAAGGAGTGGGCAAAGGGTGAGTGTTGGATCCAGGCAAAGCAGCTCCATCTTCACCTCCATCAGCATCGTGTTCTGGTGTGGATGTACCGTTTGCCTTCAAAATACAGAAAGCCAAAAGTTTTGTTTGGAAAGCAGCAATGGGGAGAGGCTTGACAAAGTTATTTAACATCGCTTTTGCATGCTCAGTGCCATTTTAAAAACTTCCTAAAAATATAAAGAGAACATCTATACATCATTAGACCAAACCCTTGTCAGCAGTCAGGGCCCATTAGGCTTGATTAAAGAAAGAAAAGGCAGGGGAGAGAAATGTGAAAAGAAGAAAGATGGAGTTGTACTGCTAGAACTGGTCCTCTGGTATATGATTCCCTCAAAGGGCCAGGTCAGGTGGGAAGGCAAAGCTCAGCTCTGAGGTGTTTCCACACCAGGTGACAGAGCAGGTCCTCCACGTGACCCTCCTGCCCTCTGAGTTCCTGGGTCATGGGCAGGAGTTGAGGCAGAATGTGGTCCTTGCCCATGGCTGGGGATGGGCATGGGCCAGTCCTGCTCTGCTGCAGAAGGTTCATGTCACCTAAACAAAGCTGAGCTGATCCCTTCAGCACCCCTGGCAAAACTCAGGCTCTGCTGGGACACACTGCTGCCAGCACATGGGCAGAAATGGGGGGGCAATGTGGAGTGCTCTAAGGCAGGCTGGTACTAACTTCTTTCCCCCTGCTCTGAACTGAAGGGGACACAAATTCCGTTGACACCTGGA